GCGCCCCCCTCCTCCCCGCTTGGCTTGTTGCGGAGAAAGGGGTCTGTGCCAGAGGAGGCCTAGGGAGCCTTGGGGGGAGGGGGCTGCTATGGGGGGGGTGTCCCTCTCCTCTTGCTTTGCTTCACTGGAGAATAAAGAGGCGGCCTGGATGGGCCTGGTGGTGGTTCCCTGCACTTGCTGGGCTGTGGGGTGCAAGAGGGATTGGGGGGCACCCCAAGCTCCCAGTCGTGCCCCCTCTCCTCCCCAAGAGTGATTGGGGGGGCTGGTTCTTGGAGGGGGTTTTACTCCCCAGTGTGAGCTGGGGGTCAGAATCTCACCCCTGTTTGTTGTGCCCGAGGCCAGTCCTGGTCCACCCGAGCGCCCCTTGGCTCCCTGTGAGCTCTCCTGGCCTCCTCCATTCCAGATGGAAATATCTGGTGCCTGTCTGCCGCACTGGATTTAACTAGGATCCCACAGCCCATGTCACCTCTTTCCACCTCACCCCCCCCAAGCTACCCTCCCTTACCTCCTTCCTCCCTATCTCTGCTCTGTGGGGCCAGGCTCCCTTCCCCGGCAGCAGCAGGCTGTGGGGGCTGTGTTGCTAGCCTGGTTACCAGCCCTGTGCTTCTGCAGACCCCCAGGGAGTGGGGTGGAGAAGGGGAAGGCTTTGCCTTTCTCATAGCTGGTTGCTATGCTTCAGGCTACTGAATTTGCCAGGGCTTCTTTAGCAGGCTCCACAGCACACGCTCTCCCATTGGGGTCTGCATCTAGTGCTCCCCAGCCCCTCTGAGCCAGGTGCTTGGGCTCCCCTCAGCCAGGAAGAGCTGTGCTGGCTCTGCAGGTCATGGAGGGTAAGCTGGATTCTCTCTACCTTTGTGTGCATCAGCAGAGCTGCTAATTAGGCCCAATCTGGCTCATTCAGGCAAAGCTGTGCTGCCAGGAAGACAGCACAGATGTCCCTGTGACGGGGGCTGACCTGGCAGGGTGCTGTGCAAGGCTTTTCTGTGGCTGCGTAAACCCACCCAGACCTGTGCTGCTCCCCTCCTCCCTGTCCCTAATGGGTGCTCTTGTCCCTGCCTTTAGACTGACATTCGTGTGACCTTGTGGTGAGCTGTCTGGGCGAAAATGTACTCACAACCCACCCCAAATTTGGCGATATCCACGTCTTGTGCTGGGGAAGGTAGCAGCTCTGACTTACTCTAGCTTAAACTGGGGTGGAATTGGACTCTTAGAGCTCCTATAGGGATGCTGAGGGAGCCATGACTCTGCCCTATCAGTGTTTTGCAGAGAGGGAAACTGAGGCAGGGGGGAGATGAAGCAGCATGCTACAATCCAGCACGAAGGGTCTGCAGCTTTGCAGGGTAACACCCAAGCCATAGATGCTGGCTGTCTCCACCCTGAGCTGGGGGTGTTTGTCCAGTGACCCCCTATCCCCAGCTGTGGGGCTTTATAGAGTCTCATCTCCAAAGCTGAACAACCTGCCAGCACTGGTGGAGGTTTCCCACCCTACAGATCCCTTTAGAGACACTCTCAGGGTCCTTCCAGCCTCAAGCCCCAATCTTTTAAAATGCTTCCAGCTGCAGCGAGGCCATGTCCTTCCCCTCCTCCCTTGTGTTTCATTGATTAAGAGTGCTAGGCCTCATTGGGGGATTTAGGAAGAGCTAATTGCAGACTGGTAATTGAAGACAGCTTGGAGTCTCTGGAAATGTCAAGGAATGAGAGACGAGCTTAGATGCTCCTGTGCATTTAAATATGCATCATCGGCTCAGCGAGAGCCTTACCGAAGGGAGAGATGTCTGGTTTTCCCTCCCCCATAGGACTTGTACAGCTGCTGGGGGGAGCGGGACAGGGGGAGCACTAACCTTACCTTGCCTGGGAGCCTCCTGCTCCCCCCAAGGCAAAGGGGAGGTTGGGGCAGACACAAGCAGGGGAGGGTACTGAAGGTGGGAGCTTGGCATTTTCCCCTTTCAAAAGCTGTGTGCTTTAACCTGCCAGACCCCTGTGCCGCTGCACGATGCCGTGGGGGTCTGGGCTCAGGAGCCAGCTATGGGGCAGCAGGAGGGGGATGGATAGAGCTTTTTCCCCAAAACTTGTAATCCCTGCAGCGACCCAGTGCTCCCTGAGGAGCAGTGAGGGGCTGAGACCCTCTCAGGAGGGGCTGGGAAGCCCCTCTTGCTGCCAGCCACAGGGCCCAGCAGTGTCTGGGGTTGCAGGGATGGGGGATTCACATCGAGTTTGGGGCTCAGAGGTAGAGCAGCAGGGCCAAGTCAGGGATCCATCACCACAGGGCCTTGGTGAAGGATCCCAGCGCTTTCCTAGTTTGAAATTTCTCCAGCAGCAACACATCTCCTCTCTATGCCTCACAGTGGATGCATCTGCTCCACCCCACGTTGCAGCAGGGGAGGTGGGCACAAGCTGCATGGTGCAGCCTGCAGTGGGTTCAGCCCCTCCTCCCCCAGGGAGGTCCCTTCTCAGGCCATAGCATCTTTCTTTTGCTCCCCAAGGGTGTGTGGGGCTGCTGGAGGCATGCTGGGTGGCAGTGGGTCCCCAGGATGCGTAGTCACCCGTGAAAGGGGAGGGTTTCTGCCTGGAGCTCGTGGAGCAACAGCTCTGTGAGACTCCCCTTGCCCTGCTGCTCTGTCTGCAGAGCAAACTCCATGCACTGGACGTGCTGGCCATGGCACTGGGGCATGGAGGAGCGATGGGCGGCTGGAGCAGCCAGCCTGGCAAGCCATGCCTCCTCCTGCTGGACAAACAGTGGGGAAGCTGTGCTCTTGCTATTAAGAGTTGGCAGCATCCCCCAGAGTGACTCGGAGCTGCTCCGTGGGGAGGAAACTGCTTCGGATGATGCAGACCCAGCGCCCACGTGGCTGGTGAAGGACCTGCCTCAGCCCAGCTTTCTGCGCAAGCTCTTCTCCTCTGTTCGGCTGCGAGGATGATGGATAACGTGTTCCTCAAGGCAGATGGAAGTAGGAGGTCTCTCTTCTGCCACTGTGGGAGCTACTCGGACACTGGCTCCGTCGCAGCTTTGGGCTGTTGCTGCTCTGCTGAATTGGGGATGACTTGTGGGTGCAGGTTTCTGGTCCCCTCCTTGCTCCATGGCGCTTTGCTCACAGCTGCTGGTAGGATGTCTAGGGGGAAAGATGTGGACAAAGTGACCCAGGGAGATGGCAGCAAATGGCAGAGAGAGCATGAGGCGTCCTAGACTAAATTGGCTGATGAGATATTTGTACCCAGGAGGGGGCAGGACAGCTGCCACAGGGTCTCAGCTGATGGGGCACGCATCCAGGCTGGGGTGGCAACCTGCAAGAGGCTTTGAGCTCTGCCTGTGCCCAGGGTAGCCCAGTGGCAGGCATGAGACCAAGGGAGCTGGGACAGCAAACAGTTTGGTCCCTGCTGTAGCCAAAACATGGCCTGTGTCATTGCCTGGCTGGTGGGTATGGGACTGAGAAGCACAGACTGGGGACAGCTCTGTGCCAAGAAACTGGGGCAGATGGAGAAGGGGTATCAGATGCCTTGGAGCCCTGCTGTGATGGTTAATCCTTCTGCCATGGAGCCCTGCAGAGCGGAAGGCCAGGGCTACCTAGGCTGGGGCATTACCTCCAGCCCACTGAGAGCTGAGCGTGGAGGTTACCCTGTGCTGTGTCCCCTGCCTGTCTCGCAGTCCTGTGTCACCCCTGAGGACTGAGCTCCTTGGGGGACAGCCAGGCAACACCAAGCTGTGGCCCGGGGCAGTCATGGGGAGCCTGCCCCAGGGAGTGAGTGCCCCCAAGGCTGGACCGGGTGCCGCTCCCTCATCAGAAGTCCTGCATTAGAGTGTAATCTGGCATTAGCGCGTTAATCCAGTCCTCCCCGCTGCCCAGCCCCTGCCCTCAGCAGAGTCCAGCCCAAGGTCTCGGTGTACAGCTGGGCAGGAGCGGCACCAGGACACTGTCTCCTTGGCAGCCCTTGCCTGGGCACCAGAGCGCAGGCGGCAGCAGGGTCAAGGTTTGGGGCTCCATCCAGAGCATCCCTGTGTCTGGGGAGGGCAGCGAGCAGGGAAGAAACCCAAAGCGCACAAAGCTCCTCCCGGTGCATCCAAGACCTGGGGGGTTTACGGTGGCGGTATGGCCCCAGCCCTGAGCACATTGGCAAGGGAGAAAGCAGCATCTTTTGGAAGCGTTACGGTTGGTTTCTTGGAGGGGCTTCACGAGGGGTTTTGGAGCCCGACTGCCTGCACCTGCGGGCTCCGGCTGAGCCACGCTGTCACGAGGCACTTTGCAGGGAGCCAGGCCAAGGGAAGGTGGCGTCTGGAGAGAGGATGTGAGTCAGCAGCTTGGGGGTGGGGGGGCTGAGCCGAGGAGCCAGCGCAGCAGGGGTGCGGAGAGGAGGAAATAGGTGGGAATTGGGAGAGCTGGAGGGGGAGCAGGGGTGGGCAGGGAGGCAGCCCACGTCCCCTGGGGCAGACGTGACCTGGCTGTGCTGCGAAGGCTCTTCCCAGCGTGAGAAATAAAGCAAGTGGCGATGTGGCTCTGCTAAAATAGGAGAGGGGCTACTCCGTCCCCCCTCTCATCCCTTACTGTGGGGCTGGGAGGCTTTGCGGGAGCTGGAGGGGTCCTCCTGCCATCCTGGCAAGAGGCTGAGGCCAGGGCAGGGCTCAATCCTGCCCTCTTACCGGCTAAGCAAAGCCAGAGACAAAGATACATATTTTTTTTTTTTAAAGTAGGAAAAAAACCTTCTGCCTTTAATCACAAGGCAGCAGAAGAAACTGCCAGGCCACGTGTGCTGCTCCCTCGCTCTTCCCAGCGCGCAGGCTGAGGCCCTTTGGGACCACGTTCCCCCATCTCACCCTGGGCAGGGCACCCGAGGACTCCCTGCAGGTAGGTCTGTAGCCTGTGGGTGCACCGGGCCCATGCACCCTGCTGCCAGCCACCTAGGACAGGCTCCCCCCCCAGCCGGTACACCCCACTGCTAGGGACGGTGCTCCCCCATCAGCCCCCCGGGCTGGGCACCCCCGGTCGGGGCCAGGGATGATGCTCCACTGGGAGCTGTGCCGGGCTCAGCCCCGCTCGCCCATTGGCAGGATTTTGCTGCAGTCTACTCTGAGCCGGAGGTTTTGGTGACTGAAGAAAGCAGCGCTGCTGGCGGGCTGGGTCAGATGGGGCTCTGGGGAGGGGGGAGGCTGGGTTGGGTGGGAGGTGATGCTCTGTCCCCTCCTCCGGTAAGCACAACATGGGGTGGGGGGGCTGCTCCCAGTGGGGCCTGGGGATGGGAGCATCCCGAGTTGCCATGGTGACACCGGCTGCATCCTCAGGCAGGCGAAAGCATCGCTGGTGCAGTCCTGCATGGGTGTTCCTCACCTTCCCTCCTGGCTGCTGTCCCTGGGGAATGCAGGGCTGGTTCCTGGCTTTTGGGGTGGCACTCTGGGGACAGAGCAGGGGGACCATGCCAGGTGAGCTCAGAACAGAGCAAAGCAAGCCCTCAGCTGCAGCCTGTTGCACTGGGGCTGTGCGGTGGCCCTCCCTCTTCCAAAAAGGTAACTCCCCCCTTCCGCAGCATGCCCGGCCTCCGATCCAACCGGAACCCAGATTGCAGGGCTGGGAATGAGGAAGGAACTGGGCTCACCTGGGCTTCTGTGGTACAGGCACTGGCAGAGGGACAGGAGGGATAGGAGCGGGATGGCGGGGTGGGGGGAGCTACTAGTAAGCCACATTCCTTAATCCATGTCCTGCCCTGCGTCATGCAGTTACCTAAGCCCTGAAGCAGGCTTCCCCAGCTCTGAGGGAGCCAGCTGTGGTCAGCCCCCAGCCATTTTGCCCTTGCAAGGCCAAGCCTGAGGGGGGGGTGTCTCCAGCCTGAGTGCTGGTTGCATGGGGGTAACTACTCCTTTCCCCCCCGCTTCACCTCCTGCCGTCCTTGGGGACCAGGCTGTGCAATGCTTAGGAGCGGGATGGCGGGGTGGGGGGAGCTACTAGTAAGCCACATTCCTTAATCCATGTCCTGCCCTGCGTCATGCAGTTACCTAAGCCCTGAAGCAGGCTTCCCCAGCTCTGAGGGAGCCAGGAGCCAGCTGTGGTCAGCCATTTTGCCCTTGCAAGGCCAAGCCTGAGGGGGGGGTGTCTCCAGCCTGAGTGCTGTTGCATGGGGGGTAACTACTCCTTTCCCCCCCGCTTCACCTCCTGCCGTCCTTGGGGACCAGGCTGGGG